ACATCTCGTGGCTATCAAGGGAAGTGTCAGATTTGTGGAGTTCATGGTCATAGTGCACGTACCTGTTCTCAACTACAGCAAACACAGAATGGCTTCTCCAATAACACCCGTGGCTATGCTCCCTGGCAGCCGCGTGCAAATATGGTTACAGCTCCATCTTATGATGAAACAAGTTGGCTATTGGATACTGGAGCCACTCATCACATAACTTCAGATCTCAACAATCTTGCTCTTCACCAGCCATACCATGGCGGAGAGGATGTTACACTTGCAGATGGATCTGGATTACAAATTGCTCAAACGGGTTCCACCTCTCTCCTTACACCCGCTCGATCTCTTGCTCTGCGTGAAGTTCTATATGTTCCTGACATTAAAAAGAATTTAATATCAGTATATAGAATGTGCAATTCTAATCAAGTTTCGGTAGAATTCTTTCCTGCACATTTTCAGGTCAAGGATCTCAGAACGGGGGTCCAGTTGCTCCAAGGCAGAACTAGAAATGAGTTGTACGAATGGCCTGTCAGTCTTTCCAAACCAACGGCTTTCCTTGCTTCACCATCACCGAAAACCGATCTTCTCTCATGGCACTCCAGGCTTGGTCATCCCGCTCTACCTCGGTTGAAGACTCTTGTCTCGAAGTTTTCCTTACTAGTTTCTCACTCTTCGCAAACACAGTTACCATGTTCTCATTGCCTTATTAATAAGAGTCATAAGCTTCCGTTTCATACCAACACTATTGTCTCTACTCATCCACTTGAATACATATACAGCGATGTCTGGACATCACCAACTTTGTCCATCGACCACTTCAAATATTATCTGGTACTTGTCGACCATCACACACGCTACACTTGGCTGTACCCGCTGAAACAGAAGTCACAAGTGAGGGAAGTGTTCATCGGCTTCACTGCGCTAGTTGAAAATCGCTTCAAGCAGAAGATTGACACCTTATTTTCCGATAATGGTGGTGAATTTATTGGACTCCGGCCATTCCTCGCAACTCACGGCATCACACACTTGACGTCACCTCCGCATACTCCTGAACACAATGGAATATCAGAGAGGAAACACAGACATATTGTAGAAACGGGACTCACACTTCTCAGCAAATCATCGATGCCAAAAGAGTATTGGACTTACGCATTCACAGCTGCGGTGTATCTGATCAACCGGATGCCTACTCCGGTGCTTGTCAATGATTCACCGTATCGGAAACTCTTTGCACAACCACCGAATTACTTGAAGCTGAGGGTCTTTGGATGTCTGTGTTTCCCGTGGCTACGGCTCTATGCAATCAACAAGCTTGAAAATCGCTCTCTCCCGTGCGTCTTTCTCGGGTACTCGCTCTCCCAGAGTGCCTACCTCTGCTTAGCACCGACGATGGATCGTATTTACACCTCTCGTCATGTGCAATTTGTTGAATCTCAGTTCCCCTTTGCGGCGGATATGTCGAGCCGTGAACCCAGCGTGGATCGTCATCAGCAGGTGTCATTTCAGAATCCCGTCTCGGTTATACCGTTCAGGCCACTCGTACAAACTCCGGCACCCCCGTCTGCAGGTCTTCACCCCTTGCCAGTGATGAATTCACATTCTCCGGCAGTCACACCTTCGTCTCCCTCGATGCCTTCGGCGACCATGAATGAACTCAACATGGGCCAAAATCAACCAAACCCAACTCCCGTACCCTCATCATCACATACCAGCCCACCTTCAACTCCACTCACTTCAAGCCCACATACAACACCGAATAATAGCCCACCTTCCACACCCACCACAAGCCCACCTACTACACCAACTAGCACAGGCCCACAAAACACCAGCCCATTTACCCCATCTACAAGTCCAAATTCCTCAACCTCATCTTTGCGAAGCCCATCTTCCTCCTCAACACCATCTCCTCCAATTCCTTCACCGCCGACATCGAATCCTCCCTTACCACCACCACTGGTCAATGATCACAAAATGTCTACCCGTGCAAAACACCAAATTATCAAACCTAACCCCAAATATGCCAATACAGTTACCACCCTAAAACCGACGATACCAAAAACTGTCGCTGAAGCATTGAGGGACCCCAATTGGCGTAACGCGATGTGTGAAGAAATCAATGCCCAGATTCGAAATGGCACTCACGAGTTAGTTCCACCTTCGGCTAATAGGAATAGCGTGGGATGTAAGTAGATTTTTACTCTCAAATATAACCCTGATGGAACTCTTGACAGATACAAGGCACGCCTGGTTGCCCGCGGGTTTTCTCAACAACACGGTCGGGATTTCACGGACACGTTTAGCCCAGTAATCAAATCCACTACGGTCCGCTCAGTTCTTCACGTTGCTGTCAGTAAGAGCTGGAGTATTCGACAGATTGATGTGAATAATGCGTTTCTTCAGGGTCGCCTTACAGATGAGGTATATGTCATGCAACCACCTGGATTTGTTGATCAAGATCGACCCAACTATATTTGTCGCTTAAAGAAAGCCCTATATGGTCTAAAGCAGGCCCCCCGAGCTTGGTACCAGGAGCTTCGGACTCATCTTATTCATCTTGGTTTTGCTAATTCAGTTGCTGACACCTCTCTCTTCATCAAACGACACAATAATAACATTGTCTATGTACTTATTTATGTCGATGACATGCTCATAACAGGGAGTAGCACGGCGCTGATCGGTCAAATAATCAAGTCCCTTGCAGACCGGTTCTCACTCAAAAATCTTGGTGAGTTACACTACTTCTTAGGCATTGAAGCTAAACGCACTTCCGCTGGTCTTCACCTTATGCAACAGAAGTACATTGTCGACTTACTCACTAAGACGAAGATGCTAGCTGCAAAACCGGTTTCCTCACCAATGGCGCCAACACTGAAACTCTCCATTCGTTCAGGCAATGATTTAGCTGATCTGCGGGAGTACAGAACAGTTCTTGGCAGCCTACAATATCTCTCCTTCACTCGCCCGGACATAGAATTTGCGGTCAATAAACTGTCACAGTTTATGCATAAACCCACCGACGAGCATTGGAGCGCAGTAAAGCGAATTCTTCGATACTTGGTGGGCACACAATCGCATGGTATCTTCATCAAACCCAATACACCTGTTACTCTTCATGGTTTTTCAGATGCAGATTGGGCAGGCGATACAGATGATTTCGTTTCCACTAATGCATATGTTATATACCTTGGTGGGACTCCTATCTCTTGGTCGTCAAAGAAGCAGAATGGCGTGGCTAGGTCGTCAACTGAAGCAGAATACAGAGCAGTGGCCAACACAGCTTCTGAGGTGCGGTGGATCTCCTCTCTCCTAACTGAACTTGGAGTTGTCCTCCCAACTGCTCCAGTCATTTACTGTGATAACATTGGCGCAACACACTTAGCGGCAAATCCAGTTTTTCATTCGCGAATGAAGCATTTGGCGCTGGACTATCACTTCATTCGCGACAATGTACAAGCTGGAACTCTACAGGTTGCACATGTCTCCACCCGAGACCAACTAGCTGATCCGTTAACAAAAGCTCTCTCCAAGCCTCGTTTCCAAGAGTTCATATCCAAGATTGGCGTTAGAAAACTCCCGCCATCTTGAGAAGGCATGTAGGCGTTATCTATAGCAAGTGTATATTCTGTAATTATTGTAAACCTAGAGTCTCTTGTAAACTCTCCTATATATTGTAAAGGCTGCACATCTAATAGATTAATTCAGCATTATCTCATACATATATATATGTTATAGTTATATATATATACGCACACACTTGACGAATGCATAATTCACATGAATATAGTGATCCAAAACTAGCTTGAATCAGTTCACCAGCTATGATTACTAAAATAACTAGTATTAAATAATGTATATATATATTTTCTTGAATAGTCTCATTCGATTGACCATAAACTATAACTACTAACATCATTTTCTCATACATTTCAGTGTGGGGGCAATAAAGCCAACCGTGTTTTCATTATTCCAAGTGTTGACAATATAATATAATCTATTTTATGGTAACATATGTCTCATGCTAAAATCCATAACGCAGACGTCCCTTGTATAAAAAAAACTATAAGTTAAGATCATGATAAAGTATTTCACACGGATTCTGCATGTTGTTTACCCTTTTTTCACATGGCTCGCCAATCTCAAATATCACATTCTAATGACTTATTTACCCCTTACTAAGTCCAAAGTATTAGGTGTCTATTTCTTTTGGATGAGCAGTAATATCTCATTATGTTACGTAGTTATCTAGCTAGGTTCATCACACACACTGTCCTACATACATAAGTGTTGAAGAGAAAGTCAATTTCATATCTTGATCAACTTTACCATCTCATTTAGATATCAATTAAAATGTTTTTTTATATAGTTAACCATATAGTTTAAACTCTTAAACATCTATGACAAACAAGAAAACAACGATCAATGTCGTCGCTTATGTAGAATGTATTCATAGGTCATCATCAATCATGTCGTTGTAATATTAACTACAAGAACTTTACAATGGAATGTATTGTATCATTAATCTAATTTTTGATTATAGGATTTCCTACAACTGTCAGATTTATATTTACACTGGGCAATAGTACAATATATTTGTCTTTAAAGAATCGAAAAAAAAACATTACACAAATGTCGCTTCGAACCCAAATTATGTTAATTATATAATATATAGTTAGTTTAGTAACTCCAGGGATGAGTTGCTTAAATGTGTAATTTAATACATTCTGACCCCAACGAAGGAGGCAATGAATCTAATCTGTTATAATCTAACCGGATTGATTGAGATTGTGTAGTTGGCCTTGGAGTGGCTTAATCGTGGCCATGGAGCTTCCGCTCTGCTTCTTCTTCTCTCAAATTATATAACAAAATTACTATAAACTTGCAATAAATAAATAAAATAACATATCTTCATTACGAGTACCTACCCAATGGCAGTATTCGACCGACCAGATCTACATCGAACTATGTATTATGCTCATGTAATTTTAATATCTTCACACTTTTTAGGTTTACAGACCCAAAAACAAAAGAGAAAAATTGTGCATATAGACAAATTAAGTAGAATTTATACTATCCAACATAGTTCAACTTAAATTCAACCAAGAAATGGGTACAAAAAAAGGAAAAAAATTAAATGTTATTGAGTGATTGGTAGTTAAGGAACTTATGGTGTTAGGCTGTCTGAAAAAAGAAGCAGTTAAAGAGTCTTTGAGTACAATGACTTAAACAGGAAAATGTCAGTCCCATTATAACCTCTCAAAACCAAACACAAACACATTACAATCTCTTCTTCTTCTCTGACATAATGGTGGTTTGAGCAAAGCTTTTTTTTGCAGAAGATATAATGGGCAAAACAAGCAAGTGGATTAGAAATTTCTTAACAGGAAAGAAAGAGAGAACAAAGGAAAAGATTAGTCAGAGCGAGTGTGGGTTCACTTCTACGATTCCAGGCACTCCTAAAGAGAAACGTCGATGGAGTTTCAGACGTTCTTCTGCCACTGGACCACCAGCTTGTGTTTTTACTCCCAGAGATTCATCTCCACCGCCTCAACCGCCACCGCCACAGCCATTTGTGGTCGCAATCGTGGACAGCGAAGAGAGCAAGATCAAGAACGCTTCAGCCGCAGAGATTGAAGTGGATGTTGAAGAAATTGCAGCAGTGAAGATTCAGGCCTGCTTCCGTTCTCATTTGGTAAAACTGAAAAAAAAAACTAAAACTCAAACGAATCAATTTCTCTGTTTCTTGCTTGAAAATAGGGTTAAAGAATCAATATATGTAATTTTTTCTTGGAGCAGGCGAGGAAAGCATTAAGAGCATTAAAAGGGTTAGTGAAATTACAAGCACTTGTGAGAGGTCATTTGGTGAGGAAACAAGCAACAGCTACACTTAGATGTATGCAAGCATTGATTACACTTCAAGCCAAAGCTCGAGAACAGAGGATTCGTATGATTGGAGGAGATTCAACCACAAATCCAAGAACATCAATTCATAAAACCCGAATGAACAACATTTACCACGTAAATGGATCTAACCCAGATCTCAAAATCCAAACTTGACAACACCCAGATCCTAAAGTTTCCAACTTTTGACTCCTCTGTTTTTTATGTTTGTTTGCAGGAGAATGAAGAAAACATCAAGATTGTGGAAATGGACATTCAATCCAAAATGTACTCTCCGGCTCCTTCTGCTATAACCGAGATGAGTCCTCGAGCGTATAGTAGCCATTTCGAGGATTGTAACTCGTTCAACACAGCACAAAGCAGTCCTCAGTGTTTCAGATTCAAAGAATATTATAATGGAGATTCTTTGTCTTCTTACGATTACCCTCTCTTCCCAAACTACATGGCTAATACTCAGTCTTCTAAAGCCAAGGCTCGGTCTCAGAGTGCGCCGAAGCAGAGACCTCCTGAGATCTATGAGAAGCAGACGAGCGGGAGGAGAAGATCTTCAATGGAAGCACCGAGGAACGGTGTACCTAGAGCAGTACGGATGCAGAGATCTTCATCTCAGTTAGGTCCAGCAACAGCCAAAGAAAGTCAACATCATCATCAGTATCAGTATCATCCGTGGATGGCGATTAAGCTCGATAGATCTAATATTTCGCTGATGGAGAGCGAATGTGGATCCACCAGTACCATTATGACCACTAACACCAACTATGGTGGTAGACATGTTGATGTGAGTCTTGGAAGATTACTTGCTTCTCAAGAAAACATGAATTGAGATTGGAGCTGATGTTTCTTTTTTTTCTTGTTTTGTTTCTCTGTTGTATCAGGTTCAAGGGAACAGCATGTACTGAAAAGTCTGGTTTAGGAATTTTAAAGTGATTTGATCAAATAGACAAGCCTAGAAACCGAAGAGACAATGATGAAGATTCAACAAAGTACAAATTCTTATATGTAATGCAAAACTGTAGTAGAAGAGACATCTTGTCTTCAAACCTTGTTTCTTCCCTTCTGTCTTTATCATTCGCATTAACGTTATAATGTTTTTGGATAATTTGACTAGTGTTTGTAAAATCCATGATACCATGTTGGTCATCTCCTATGGCGGCGCTGAAACCAGAGCCAGCACCAAAAGAATTGTATATCCAACCAAATTATAATACAGTATACAGATTTATTCAATTTCACTAGGCAGCAAACCGGATTAGTAATCAATGGCAAAGAAAAAGTGAATAAAATCTAATTTACTTTGCAAAACAGTTCCAATAAACCAAAACAAAATCAGGTGTTGTAGAACAAGAAATGTTTTGGCAAAAAATAATGGATAACTCAATTTTATTAAATTTCGATTTGTTCTTCAGATCAAATTTTCGTTACAGTTTTAGTTTTGTCAGACCGAAACGAACACTCACTTTTTAAAGCTTACAATGAAGTTTTAGTTGTAGTTGTGGCCTATGGGTGTATGGCCCAGTCAGAGTGATCGAACCCATGTAAATGCTTATATCTAAAAGCCCACGTAAATCTTCTTCTTTTGCTAAGTAATATATCAACGGAGAAAGGTACGAAGAGTTCTTGTGCTCAATAATATAACTTCTCTTCTTCTTCTTCTTTATTCTTGTAACCATTACAATCACAAAAGGGTGACATTTGCGTTGCGTATATGAAAACACACGTTTGCCAATGGGGACTTATCGCCTTAACATTTAGATTAGAAATAGCTGAAGCATATCTTACACAATTAGTTTTCATCGAAATAAATATTATTCATTTCATCACCTTAATAATGATCTTCTCACCTAGCTAAATAATCGCATGTTACACATTTTTCATTTATACATGAGTTGACTAAAAAGTCCTAACAGTTGTAGTATTGTACATTTACGGATAGGAAAATCAAGTCAATTAATTATATGGTTCAGTGTTGTCATAAAATTAACCGGGATGAGAAGGACAATAATGCCATTGCCACCCTCTTAACAACGACATTTCTCCACACCTAAACATTGACAATTCACCAACTATGGTAGTATGAATATGAAATAAAGACCCTACGCTTTATCTTACATATACAAAATGGCTACACTTTGTCAGCAAATCATATATATAAACGCACAAATATTTGGAGAACCATGTACTGGTAATTGCCATTATTACATGGCATCGACCCATGGAATTACATTTTACAAAAAAAATTCCTTTCTTTAGCATTTTGGCTTTTGCTGAAGGACTTTACATAATAATTGAGTAGCCATTGTTAGCTTCGTTTAGTGGCCAAAAGACAGGTTACAAATTGTTGTTCTCACATATAACTCATTTTGGAATATCTGAACTCTCTTTTTTGTTGTCTTGTCTATTCTTTTCTTCACTTCTTCCATTTCTTTTTTTTTGGAGATCTTGATGACCCCTCTTGATTATCCTCTTTTTGGATTTTGAACGTACACTTGTGGATGTTTGTGGGTGGAAATGTGAGTTGCGTGCTAAAGAAAAAAGGAAATACATAGGCATCTTGCTTTTTTTTTTGGTGGGGGGGGGGGGATTAGTTTTGCAAATCTAAATTTTAATTTGACAAGCACTTTTATCAGAATCAATTTTGTAATCAAGAATAATAGATATTTCTATATATATTTGAGATTTTAATTTTATACATGATATAATTCAAATTAATATACATAATTATTACATTCATAAGTTTTTGCAAATATAAAGTTATAAACAGATCATAATATATTTGTATCTTACTATATAAAACTGAATGTGTCTAAGTTAGTAATTCACATAATCACGACACATTGTAAATCATTTGATCCATATGTGTCGTAATTAAATTAAAAATAAAACATAAATTTAAAAAATATTACTATTATTTTATAAAAAAAATACAAAAGTATAAATACTACAATGAAAAAGGGAAATTATATATTTTAATCAAAAAAATAAACTAAAAATTAACCCTAAAAACATACTATTTTTTTTAAAAAAAAAATGTTTGTAGTATTCAATAATTAGACAATTCTAAAAAAAAAATTACATACAAAAAAGGAAATCATATATGCTAATGATATTATATCAGAAGATGATGAGCTCAGTGAAGAGCATGATCACTGAACATCATGTAGAGAAATTTTGACACAAATTTTTTTTAGAAAGCATAGAGATTATATACTGAAGATGAATGTAAAGAGACATAGAAACTTTATTTGTTTTGGAAAGAGTTAATATATTTGAATGACTCAAATTACATATCCAAATTCTTAGACGAAACAAAAATTTGATATACATTTCAAAAAAAAATCCGAAATACATTTCAGCCACCATATGTGAATGCACAAAAAAAAAACAGAATCAATACAAGCTATAAAAATATGTATATACATTTCAAAAATCCGATATCACTAAAATTTAAAAAAATTGGAATATTCCATTTAAGATGTATCTTACCAATATTTTAATATAACATGCATGGCTAGCTATATTGCTAATTACATAATACATGAGAAGGTCACGCGAACAAGATACAGAGTACTGAAAACATATCCCAAAACTTTTGTTAGCTAGAGAGGTGTGAGGTGTTTAAATTACACTAATTACCGTCAATTCCGGCTTTTAAAATAATTTTAGACTAAACCACTTTCGAAATTTAGATTAAACAATATCGAAAACATCATATATTATTATTCACTAATTGAACTTACTGTATTTGGTGTGGTCACATTTGTCGTATGTTGAATTTTATGAGCTGTGAGAAGATTTGTCACAAATCACACAATGCGTCTCTGCATATAAATAACTGAAAATATCTCTATTTTATTAAGTTATTTTTATCAAATCCTAGAGAGGCTGCCGACAAATTTATCCTATTTTTCCTCGCCGAACTCTATTCCTATTGGATTTTTCTCGGAAATTTGTTGTATATGATATGATAATGATAGTTTTTATTCACTTGAATGATGCTCAAATCTCTCTAATAGACACTGAACCAAAATTTAGATATATCCATTAACTACAACAAAATAATTACACAGTACATCATGCTTATTACCATCAACGAATTTAGAGTCAATCCAAAGAGATTTGTTTACAATCTAAAAAAGATAATATTCTGTGTTGAACCAGAAAATTACTACTAGAGTTTGATTAACAATTGTGGATTTCGGAAAATAAGATTTTTTATTAATAGTAAGAAAGCATAACGATTACAAAGAAAAGGTATAACCGAGAGGTTATGCCGAAGTGAAAAAAAAGTTTGCGAAGTAAACTAGAAAGCGTTGGAGTCTTTAGTTTTAGATCTGCTGCTCTCTAGATTATATGAGTTGTTCTTTCTGGCTTCGGGACCTTTGTATTTATAGGAATGGGAGGTCGGTTGTTCCGAACTCCTCTTCCTTTTTGCCTTCTTGTATATTTTCATATCTCAGATATGGAAATATCATTTATTCTCCGAAAAGTAAGGAAATTCTCCTTTATCCTTGGGATTAATCCGATGTTTCCGGTCTTCCATAATTATCTTTTAAGGGTTTTCCTTTATTCCGAGCTAGGTCGGCGCGGTCTTCCTGGTCATGGTGGACTTAGGTTATTGCGGGTAAGGCCTTTTAGGAAATGTGCTCATTTCCCCTCTAACAGTAAGTTCCCCCAAGTTCGGCGAGACTGATTGTAAATCAGGTCGGCGGACTTCATGAAGTTATATATGGGTCTGACTTCGCAATAACTGTCAGTTCGTCAAGCGCGTTGCTTTTGTGATAGCCAGATCGGCTAGTTTTCGAGCGGATTCGCCATGTGGCGTTTTTATTTATTGAATACTCCCACCCATTAGGGTTTCTGCTTTTAGCGGAAAATGCTAAAGGTTCGCCAGACGGCGAGATTGCAAAAATCTTGACACGCGTCTTCTTAGGAAACTGTTGATATTTCTTTCTGATTTTATTTACTTTACTTTTACCTCTTCATCTTCTTGCTTTTTTAAAAAATCTTCGTATCCTTTGCCGATTTCTGCAGCAGTCTTCTATAGCGATTCGCCTATTTTTCCTTTGCTCTCTTTGTTTTGTCCAAAAATTTCAAAGATGTCTGCTGCTTCTTTGTCTCGCTGACCGTGCCAAACGGGTCTGGATTAGTCCAGTTGCTTCTACTTTTCCATTTCCGAGATCTCTTCAGGCTATCGGGATGAGATTCCTTCGGATCATCCTGATGCAGACTCCGAAATGGATTTGGATGGTCCTGGGCCTTCAAGTTTTGAATCGGAGATCAGGGTCGAGGGTCTCCCTGAGAAGATTGCAATGTCGCCGCACAGGACCGGTGTTAAAGATGGAAGGATTTGGATGACCGCGGAAAGGCTTGAGGAGCTTCGTTCGAAGTGCGGTTTTTCCGACGAGGTCGAACTACTGCTCCCTTAAGTTCACGAGAGAGTGACCACACCCCCAGAGGGCTATTTTTGTTTATACGAGTGTCATTTCACGGAGTTCGGCCTTCAGTTCCCGATCTCGTTGCTTCCCCGTTATTGTGAATGGAGGAAGATGCCGGTGGCGCAGCTTACCCATGCCGTAATCCGTCACTTCAATAGCTTGGCAGCGGTGGCTCGTGCAGCTATGGTTCCTTTCAACTGGGATATTTTTGAAAGGATATCCATCTTGAAGAGAGGAAGGGTGAATCGTGGCGGATGGCGCCATTTTTACACCATGATGAAGGAGGGGATCATAGGTGGTGATCCGATGAGCAAGGTCCACGACTGGGACCAGTATTTCATTTTTGTGAAGGTTAATGAAGCATCCATTGGTGGTTCCGATCTTACCCTCTTCAAAGCTTGGAGATCGGCGCCATGAAAGGAAAATACTGATTTTTGGATTTTTATTATGTCGACGATTTGATGAGTACCAATACGTTTTCGTCATTGTAGTGGAACTACGTCTGGGAGAGGACCCTATCGGGTTTGATAAAGACGTCAAGAGGCTGCGTGACCTGAGTCGGCAGTTGTGGGCCGAAAAGGAGAAGAAAGGGGCCGTTCGTCAGAAGCTGGTTAAGTCTGCCGAGAAGAAGGCCAAACCCTTGAAAGCAGGTAGGTTGTTGGATTAGAAAAATATTGACTAGTTGGCGACTTTTATTGATGCGTTTATTATTTTAGTTTCGCGAGGGATCTCGCAACCGAAGCCTGCAGAGGCTGGTCGGAGAAAGAGGAAGGCGACTTCGGCCGATGTGCCTGTGAGCGTTTCTGTAAAGAGG